AAATAATTAAAGATGTGTAATGTTCTAGTTTTAGGGAAATGCGAATATTAGGATAGGAAGGAGTGGAGGTACGTGTCCAACCAGTCTTAGGACTGACGGCGTTATGATGATGAATAACAAACTGATTGCTATTAACATAGTCGGTGGAGCTAGAGTGATGGCTGTGCTTCTACACAATTACGTTTTTGTTAACAAGCGGTCCTGAACAACAGAGTGGTTGTGCAGTGATTCTTTTGATTGGAATGTTTGTGAAAAATTAATAACTGCAATATATTCCGAAAAACAGGCATTTTTCGGTATATTTCTGTCAATAACTCGAGGTGGAAACCTTCTGGAACATACTTTTACTAGACCTTTTTTGTTGCCTGTTCAGTTTCCTACAAGATAGTGCCAGTAAGATTAAGAAAGTTTGAATTTGTTTATTACAGAANAGAAAACTTCGTCGACTCCATCATCAAACAATTAAACAATTTGCGTGCACAGTTCCTATGTAAATTTTTCCCTCATTCGAGTTATAAATTTTGCCCCCAGATGGTGTATGCCCATTTGACGGTATTGGAACTGCGGTCGATTGGGACACGTACGAAGCGCCTACAAGAGCGAGGAAGCTGCCCAAGAGTGCGTGAGAGAACGACGACATACATCTGCAGCTAAACCAAAAACTGTTGCGGACAAATCGGCTTGCTTGCTTAGTACGATGTTGTCAAGCAAGCGTTCTAAATCCCCAATAGGGTGCGCATGGCACGGAAAAGTGAAGCGCCTGAGGGAATTGCATTTTCTCCAGTATCTGCTGAGAAAGAAATTAATAAGTGAATAGATCAGAAAAGGAAGGCATCATGTACGAGAAAATTCAATTTTAGAAAGAATTAGAAAATAGACAAAAAGAGAAATAGCATTTTTCTAATAAGATATACAAAGAAAAAGAGAATGATCAGATTCGGTAGAAAGAAAATGGCTCAAGAACGGAAAAATACATTTACAGAACACTTTAGTGAATGAACTAGAAAAAAAGGAAACAACGTTGTCTAACATATTAAACGAATTTGGAAAAGAGAAAGATCAACTTTAAAAAAAAGAACGAAAAAAACAGATAGAGAATGATCTGGAAGACGCTTTAAATGAGAAATAAATAAAGAAATTTGTCTAACAGGGTAAATGAATTCAAAAACAAAAAAAATGAGGAAGTTCTGAAATTGAAAATATAGGGTTGTTCGGAAAGTCATTTCGTTTTTTTTTGTGGAAATGAAAGACAGTTTTCGTATAATAAAGAAATACTTTATTAAATTATATAT